CCTGCACTAGGCACTGACCATTGTCACTGCATCGTTTGTGACACTGCATTTACGGTTTACGTGTGGATGTCCATACTCATTATCCCAGATTCTACACAGATATGTACTTTATTGATATATATATACATAAATGAATCGTTAGATATTTTACATTAAATACTGTTCGGTTCAACTTTCACCTTGGCAACGCCCCATACAATATATATTACATATATATATATTGGGCAATGTAGGTGTTACACATCTTTTGAAATGATTGGACGTTTTAAATATTCTTTCCCAAATATGATGTAAACTATAGACTAATCGTAATATGGCGGCGTCGTAAACGGAACAATTAAAGTATTTTTTCTGTGAAGGACTAGGAACATTAAAAAAACGGCGAATTCCTAATTATTACTTCAAAGAACCAACTAATGACATTTTCATTTGTATTAAAGCTGTTATTACAGCATTCATTATAAGTCATTATTATTATTAACCTGCCTGTTTAAACTGCGGGCGTCTACGGTATAGGGGAAATATAGTGAATAGGTTACCATGCAAATTTGATTTTGACAATGACTTTATATAGTAAATTAAATCATAATTAAATGGCATAAATGAGATATTTAATATGAATAAAACAAATGTTAAAAAAAGAGTTTGAAATTAATAGTTAATATATAAAAACAAACATGCTTAAACAAATAAACTATTAACAAAGCAGCACAGTTTGTAACAATGTAATGATGTTAACGCATATTGACTTAAAACTATATAAACCACATAAGCATTGCATATATTATTTATTGCACATGTGTTTATATAAATATCATGATTGCCCTGGCATCCATTAAAAGTACACGCGATTTTTCATACGTATACTCTGAGCCAAGGATAAGTTCATCGTAACAAGTTAAATCTCATGGCGTAATAGGTAAATGCATAGGTAAATATCACCAGTAAATTATTGCATGATAATATTACGAATATTGGCAAAAAAACGCAGTTAATCATATATTTAACGTCGACATGCATGATATATATGTGGTTGGATTAGTGCCAAAATTTCTAATTATTTCTAAATGATTATTTTATTTAATCATTATTTTATAATTACATTATTATATCATTATTGTGTAATTATTATACTATTATTGTTATTATCAAAGCAAGTAGACTTCCGTAATCCACAATGCAATATGCAACATGGCTGGTGACTTAGCACAGCCGGTCATTGACCTGCTACAAACGCAATATATTCCTGAGAGTACCCCTCCGGTGAGAAAGTTATTACAGTGAGTGATCTCGAACCTCGCGACACTTTGCATATTTCAAATCCACCAGCAAATTTTAATTTTGAATATGCTTCAACCAAAGTAATCACAACTTCAGCACTATCAGTCCAATAGGCATGCGTAATTTACATTCCCCCAATCCCGCTTTGATTAGTAATCGTCTATATCTTCTGGTCAGGCGACCAATGCTGATCTAGTAGAAGCTAGGGCTATCCATACATGTGACCATGTTGGACGAGATACGTTGTCGCCCTAACCATGACGAACTGCACGACGTCTCCTCGTACCGCATCTTCTGCTGCTTGAAGATGACCGGAAAACTTCCCCCATAACGACGTCTTCCAAAAGTTTTCCTCATTTCGTCTCTGATGGTGCTGCCCAGATCTAATGACGGATACACACCGGACGCAGTACCCGCATCATTACGTGGTGACGCCGTCGACAACAACTGTGTAGATTGAGACTTCGACCTATCTCTGTGACGATGGACATCCCTGTGAGATGCATATGGTGCCTCTTGAATTGCAACTCTGTAATATATCACTAGCGCTTCTTAAATAATTGCAGGCATCTCTGGTGCTATCTGAGTCTGCAGCAGAGCTCAAATGAACACGTTTTCTCCCGCCAGCGGTCATGACAGTGTAGACCCTTTAGGCCTCCATAATATGAGTCTTTCATTTTACGGGTTAGCAAATATTTCCTATTTTTCAGCATAAATTTCATATCATGGGTTTGTTGACGGCTACATAAAAGGAAAATAAATATATATTGCGTTTAAACTCATCCAACGGGCTGCCTGAAAGTGATAATAATGTTGGTGCGAGCTAAGAGAGTTGTTTATTTAATAATAATAAAATAACGAAAGAATAATGAAATAATAATGGCGAAAGAAATTCACAATAATGATAAAATAATGAAACAATCATGGCAAAAGAATTACACAATAATGTAGAAATAATGTAAACACAATGAAATAATAATGGTATAATAATTTCACAATAATGATGAAATAAATTAAACACAATGAGATAATAAATAATAATGGTATAATAATTACACAATAATGATATAATGATAATTAAATAAAATAATCATGAAAAAATAATTAGAAAATATTTAATGTTGGCACTAATCTCACCCCATAGATCTACTCCAATCTACTGCAGTTACTTCGATCACATTAATCTTTAGTGAAATGAGTTGTTTTATATGATTCTGCATTTCTGTTTTTGTCTTTTTTTTCGTAATTTCAGAGTTGCCGCAATAGCACCATTAAACACATGCTGAAGTCCTTGCTGCAAAAAATATAAATCATCAAAAAAGATCATAAGTCACAAGAGTAAATATCAGAGCTGTATTCTAAAAACTTAATGTTTTAATAAATACGTGTTACTTTCACGCAAATATGTTAATTTTCTACTGTATATATATATAAGCAAATTGTTGTTGAATGTTGCAATAGTGAATTCACATTACATTAACCCCATAACACGTGATTGTGTGGTCACATTATATTATTACTTTACTTGCATTTGCCCTTGCTCTGAGATGCACATTTAACATATGGAAATATATTTAACATATGGAAATATATCATGCGTTTAGGAGTATACTAGTAGATATATATGTCATATGCACAAAGTACAAACACGTACCTGTGTAAAAGCTGAACATTCAATATATTTCACTGCATTGAGATCTTTGGCTTTTTTCTTCGCAATTTCTGGTGTGATTGGTTGCTGTCCGCAACGTTGCAGCTTTTCAACAGTATCGACATCGTTGCGTAAGTCAGTTTTTGTCCCGACCAATAGAAATGGTGTATGTGAACAATATTCTCGTATTTCAGGAACCCACTATAATAACGACATGTGGTTCAATTTGACTATATATTAGATAGGTGTAGTTTGTATTTTGCTTCCTAAAAACATGTTTTCAAGTCACACACATAGTCAATGTAATTAAACTCCAAAAGTTTTTCTACATTCCTATACTTTTTTCCGAAAATGTGACAAAGATCTATTCGAAAATTGAAAATTATGTGAATTTAGTCAAAAATTAAAATTTAGAGGAGAACACACAAAGATTTTGATGGGGAAAATTATGGTGTGAAATTGCATTTGATTTGTTTGTCCTCTCAGCATATTGGAGCTAGAGAATTGTTCGTATATTTCCAATCTAATCATGCGTTGAGGAGAAAAACCAATGGTTCTATCAGTTATGCAATCAACTCATCTATTTCATATTATGTTTGCATGCAGGTAAGCGCATCACAACTGAAATGCAAATTCAGAAAAACAAAAACATGATTGGCACTACAACTGCAAGGACGTACCTTGATTTCGACATTTTCAAATGATGACGGTAAAACAACAGAAAAACAAACAAGAAAAACATCGGCTTGTGAATAACTCAATTGTTGTAGCTTGGCGTGATTTTCTGGTCCTATATAAACAAATAATAGTGTGTCATCAAGGAGTGTGTAATTTTACAGTGATATTCGATATCAATAGTTTAGGTGATAAGAAATAATATAGTCAAGGAAATAAAGCTTGGTCATTATCAAAGTTTTATTAATATACATTTCATAAATTGAAATAGATGTTAGAATTCAAACTGACCAATCAGAAATGGTATTGTAACATCATCGCGTGCCATAATTAATATTAGTGAGTAATTCAACATTATCCAATCAGCAAGCGTCTCAATTTAAATAAGTAAGCAATCGTAGTTGTTACGTCACTTAGAAGTAGACAACGTTTTGCTTTTGAGCCAATCACTATTAAACACTCGAATTGGCAGGATAGGTTTTTTTTTATGATTTCTACGTTGATAAGCATAGTGCTTTTCACTGTATCAATGAATGCAGATATGCGATATAATTGGTCTATAAGACAGAACACGAAAGAGTTTGTCTATATATATATGATATGAGATGATATGTATTGTTGATCTATCCCGTGCCAGTTCAATGCTGGCGTCAATCGAACTTATTTCTGGACATTGCTTTACAGAACATAGTGAACGCCCGGAACGTTTTGGTTGGATACACACAAATGAGCGAAGTTATGTTTTCAAAAACACGTAATGCGCATTCTGCAAACAAGCGTCATTTGTGACATAGTGTTATGATAGCGAATTCACGTTGGCACATTCGGTTCACGCGCCCTCCACGTTGGCACATTCGGTTCACACGCAAGTTATGTTTTCAAAAACACGTAATGCGCATTCTGCAAACAAGCGTCATTTGTGACATAGTGTTATGATAGCGAATTCACGTTGGCACATTCGGTTCACGCGCCCTCC